TCTCACTCACTCACTCACTCACTCTCTCACTCACTCACTCTCTCACTCACTCACTCACTCACTCTCTCAGCGTCCCGCTGCTGCACTGGCAATTGGGGGAGCCTTGGCCAGGCCCAGCTGGCTCAGTTCTCCCACTTTAGGGCGAGCTAACCGTTTTCTCAGTACTGCAGCTGTGAGCCTGATGACCCCAAGAAGATCACCAAGTTCTATAGAGAAGGTTAAAGTCCGTACATTGAACATGGAACAACGAACAGAGGAGGACAGTGAGTAATATATAACTGTATTCTGACAATAACAGCACTAAAGAAATTTATAAAAATATAGGTGAGGGAGGGGAAACCCTCCAAATAATTGCTATGCATGACTCTGCAAGTGGAAGCAAGTTTTCAACAGTCATTGGTTATGTGCCATTAAGTTTTAACTTTTAGCCACAACATAGATTTTAACCTCCATGACAATCTAGCTCTAATGTGTTCTTTCAAATTTGTTAATGATGCAAATCATTGCCACTTTAACTGAGCCAATCCGTCTTGCTCTGATCATCCTTCTCTTTTCTTACATTTTCCCCAGCTTCCTTTTTAAGAGAGCTGAGTGTTTGCATAATGTGTCAAAAGTAGGTTATGGAGAGTGTTTCATGGCTGAAGGACAAGATTTATACCTCTTTTTAGTTGGTATGTGGATGTGTTATAAGGAACCCTATGACTAGAATACAAGATGGTTTTGGAGTAGCAAGTAAAGAGTAGAAAATTGATGAAATTTAATTATTCTAACAAAACTGAAGAGGAGAAAGAGGCAAGGTTCATTCCTTTGGAATACAGGTTGAAAAGAAAGAGTTAATGGAGTGGAGTGTATGGAAGAATGAAAAACAACTGCAGACTTTTTTTCGATTTAGATTTAGTTTTAATGTAGCATGAATGAAATTCATGATTAAAATATCAACATTTCCATTCAGAAAAGTATAGATCCTTTTTTTCACAATTAACAGATTCTTATGCTTAGCAGTGGCTTGCTTAGAAACTCTTCTTTGTTTTTTTATGACAGTTGAAGGTAGCCGTGGAAATGAGGGTCTTCTATTGGGGAAACCTACAGAAGAGCCAGATCAACCAATAACCAAGAATTCTCTCCTGGAAATCTTGGACGGAATCGTCATGATGTACAACCTCAGCGTGCATCAGCAGCTTGGTAAGGTGAGCAGGATTCATTTTAGTGGAGTTACTAATTGTGTCTCACTCTTAGAACTGGGATGGGAATTCACTTAATAAAGAAACGAGGATCCATTGGGAAAGGGTGGGAAGTGCTAGATTTGTAATAATGGTTCACCTACTTTTTGCCTCATGTTACGGTGACAGTTCCATGTTCTTTGATGTCCCAATAAAACCATAGATATCTGATATTTTTCATTTGAGAAGCAGAAGCTGCAGAGGATCTTAAGCTCCAAGACTAGAAACAAACCTGGCTAGTAGAAAATGACTCAAAGGCAAGTAGGGTTCCAAGTGAGAAAGTAGCAGATGGAGGAAGTCATTCTGCTAGAGAGCATTCTCCAGCATATTGTTTTATTGCTGTTGGCAGCACCCTGCCATCAAGAGAGGTCTGTCACTGATTTGCAGTTCTCTCCTCAAAATATTAATTTTGCACTGGTAAGAATTGGTGCTGGGAATTCCAAAATATTGATGTTGCCGCTCTGATCACGTTCAGCATTTTTGTTTTACCTTTGGTAATTATCCCACCTTTGCCTTGAATGCCTTAAGAAATATCTAGCTGGTATTACTGACGTTTAATTGTATTTCAGATGGTAGGTGTGTCTGATGATGTGAATGAGTATGCTATGGCATTGAAAGATACTGAAGAAAAGATCAGCCGATGCCCAGAAAGGGTAAGAAACTCTTCTCTATGCTGCCTTTCCAGTTTGTTCTTTGGGAAAAGTGTATATCATTTCTCTAAGAATAATGCTTAAGTACATTTTCAGTTACTTTAGGTTCAAGAAAGAAATCAGAATTATTTTATGGAGCCTTTCTAAAGCATGCAGAGGCCATTATGCATTATTTCCACCCAAACAGGAATTGCTTCCCTTCTGTATGTCTTCATTTAGAATCATTCAAGTATTGAGTTCTATGTTTTACATATCCGGATATAGTAAAAATCATCTGGTCCTTAGTGGTTCTTAAAAGTGATAAATAAAACCTCAGATGAACAACAACATACGAATATATTACACCACTTTATTTTACAAAAAGAAAGCCAAAATGGAGAAACTATGTGTGAAAAACTAAATACACACTTTCAGCTTCATACCCCATAGGTATGAAGGGGCTAAGTAGTACCCTGTTTCCCCGAAAATAAGATCTCCCCAGATAATAAGCCCAATCAGGCTTTTGAGCGCATGTGCTAAAATAAGCTCTCCCCCCAAACTAAGCCCTCCCTGAAAATATTGCAACACAGCAGCAGCCATGAGGTGACCACGCTCGCCGCCTCCTGCACNAGAAATTTCCTGACAGTTAGAACAATTAATCAGTGGAACAGCTTGCCAGAAGTTGTGAATGCCCCAACACTGGAAGTCTTTAAGAAGATATTGGATAGCCATTTGTCTGAAATGGTATAGGGTTTCTTGCCTAGGCAGGGGTTGGACTAGAAGAGCTCCAAGGTCCCTTCCAACTCTGGTATTGTGTTGTGTTGTGTTGTGTTGTATTGTATTGTATTGTATTGTATTGTATTGTATTGTAAAGGTGCTCCGTGCAGCTCTATTTTCTCTGTTACCCATCAGTTTCCATAATTCATCTGCCTGAGATATTTTTACATATTGACTGTTCATCAAGATGCTAATGAAGCTTAATTGTTATTAGAGTAGTTGAATCTAAGGTGAATATTTCACACAGCAACTGTTTCTGCCATTGGGAAAAAAGTTATGACTGGCATTTGTTATGTGAAGTTCTGAAATATAGGTAGATTTGTTAGAGATTTGTTAAAGAATAAATGTTTCTGCTTAGAATTTTTTCTTTTTTTCATAGCAAAGTTCATATAGGGGAGCTTGAATGTTCCTTAGGGATTCTCTTTAATACAATATGGTGTCTTTCCTGAGAGCAGTATGTTATGATACCATATTACAAGAAATACTGTATTTTTTTATACTCTTGCTAAGATGTTTTGTCACCGCCCCCTTCCCCCATGCCTTGTTTTGATGTACACAATTCCTCTGCTTCAAATAAAAAGAGATGCTATTTTTTGTGGGAAAATAGGCACAAATCACTATGGACATATCCCATCAATAGGCTTGTGGAAATGCAAAAATGAAGGGCAATATGCATCACGCATATTTAAGTGAATTGAGATATCTAGCATTACTCCTCAAACTGTTAGGTTAACTGCAGAGGACTGTTGCACTTTTTTTGCCTTTAGAATCTGACCGTGTTATGTCCTCCAGAATATATGGTGTGTTTCTTGCATCGACTCATAGCAGCCTTGAGACATTATTGGGATGAACATAAGATGAAGAATGCACCAGCACTGTATAGTGAAGGTAAAATGCCCTCATCTTTCAAAATATGACAGCATCTATATTGGTATATGACTGAAAGTTGAGGAATGGGCTTTTCAGCTAAAACTAATTTCTTTTGAAGGATTCTGGAGTGGTGTGATAAGATATCCTTGATTTTTTAAAATCCCAAAATTACAAATTAGATCATCATATTTGGAGGATCATAGTTAATGTTCAGAAAGATTATCATTTTAAAAAGTGCTGACATTCCCTCTTCTCACAATGAAACTGCTTACTCAAAGAGAGAGGAGGAGAACAGTTAAAATAGAGTACGAGGCAAAGTTGAAAGTAAATCCATGTTGGCCAAAATTAGCACAGGCTCTGAGACATGAACTGTACCAAACTGTATTTACTGTACTTTAAATCAGATATTTGTACATAATCTTAAAAAGTTAGCTCTTGAAAGTTGCCTCTTGTGAAAAGAATTAATATATTTCTTAAACATTATTTACTGAATTTACACTGTTCCCTTTTCTAATTTTTGCAACCCTCTGATATATGTGATGTTTTATATTTCTGTTTTAAAGCCATAGGAATCTACTGTCTCAATGTATATATTTCATTCTGCAGTTATAACTTAGATTGCTTTTTTTAAGCTGCATTCAAAAACATGTCTTAAAAATCTATATGTAATTCATAATCACCTCAGTTATTTATTATCAAAAATACTAGTTTCTTCACCCTAGATAACATGCCTGTCTATTTTATGCAGATGCTTATGTTCCCCCTCAGCTCTTTTATAATGGGAAAGTGGATTATTTTGATCTTCAGCGTCTTGGGGGGCTCTTATCTCACCTCAAGAAAACTCTGAAAGGCAAGTGACTTGTTTGACACATTATGTGCATTTAATTAAAAATAAATAATATTTATAATTTTTTATAAATAAAAATATTGTTTATTTTTAATATACAAAAGATGTGGGTTTAATTTCAAATGCTCTTATCTATCCACTAGTGGGATAGTTTTCTCTGAACCAATAGGAGCAAGTTTGGTGTGGAAAGGAACACTAAAAAAGAAAAAAGAAGAAGAAAGTGCAGATGTGACTTGGAGCTGAAGAGAAAAAAAAATCCCAAAACGTTCTCCCAATATGTCCCTTTGGGAAAAGCAGTTAAGCAGTATCTTAAAAGTATTGGTGACTCTGCCATTTTAAGCCTACTTCCCTCCCTCCTGATCTCATAATCCAGAACTGAACTGCTGATAAAGGGGTGGAAGAATTCCAAAAATATGTTCTCCATGCTTTTTCAACCTTGTTATATTTTCAATTTGTTGACTGCTAGGAATTTGAGATCAGAACATCACTAGTAACTATTAACTGGCAGATGCTAATTGAGCATCTGACGTAACCATCAAAAGCCATGTTCTCTTTGCTCATAATATTTCTTGGAAACAGTATTTAAATTTGAAATTTAAATAGAAGCTATTCAGTTTGAAGCATTCTGCAGATGCTCTTCTAAATAAAAGAGAGTCTTCATGACAACCTGCCATTCTTGGAAATTTTCCTATTTCAGGCTCATTAACAAAAGCACTAAATTACAACCCTCAGCACAGATGTGTTTTGGATGATACTGAAAAAAATAGTTTTAATAAGTCATACAAATGATGCTTTAGTTGCATTTTAAATTGAACATTCTAATGCAATTATTACCTTATAAGCTATATAAGATGACTCAATGTGTAAAACCTAGAAAGATAGGATGTTGCCCTTTGATTCTGTCCTTGCCCTTTTAAGGACAAAACAGTGTGCTATGTCATTTATAC